ACCAGGATGCGCACAGCCCGGTTTCCATTATGAACCTTGGATCAGCGCTAGATCTCAACGCTCCAGAAAGAGGATCAGGTGGGAGCCAGTCCTGCCCAGGACTAGATGATATAGGTGCGTTGGGAAAGACTCTGGACACATGGAGAGATTGAGTGGTTCAACTTGGTAGGCTGAGATAGGATTGACCCCGGGTTTTGTTGAGTGTGCTTGTCCTCTAACTCAGACATGTGCAACAGTACCTGCTCGCCTCCGTCCCTGCTTACCTCCCTTCCTACGCTATTCCCTACGTCTCTCCTTGCCTGTTTGGGATCTCTCCTCTCCACCTGCGGTAGATGTGGCGATTGATTCTGGGATATTAGTGGCAGACATTCTTCTGGATCTGCCGACTCCGCGTGACCTGTTTTCTTATTTATTTGTTTTTTCACAGACTCTGCATGACCTGGTTGCGCAAACGAGGGCAAATGTGAAAGAACAACAAGAAGAGAATGTTGATGAATGGTAGAAATGTACCTGTTGATGATCACGAGTTCAAATCCTGATGGAGTGAGATGGCTTACGATAAGGCTAGGAGTTGCCCTCTTCAAAAAGATGAGGGGGAGCTGAGAGAAAGAACTGCGAACCGTAAAGAGGAGGCTACTGCAAAGTTGTAGGAGAGGGAAAAACATTCTCCATAGATTGAGTAGTTGTCTCGTAAAGCTGTTTTCACTTCTCCATTCATTTGGTGACTATTCACGCGAAAGGGGCCATGCAACCCAGGCCGCTGGCCCGGCGGAAACATCCAGGAGGCACGCAGTTTTCGCCCATCTGGGAGTGTCATGCGTTTGAGACGGAATGCTGATGGAGAGCTGTATGATGGGAAACTGTCACGTACGGTTCGGAGGGCGGTAGATACGTGCAGTGATACTGTGCCAAGCAGTATGGCCGACCTGCCAGTCGATTGCTTCCCTTCTCCCCTACCCAAACCGCATTAGGGTGGAGTGTAATGGCCAGCCCAGATCGTTGTTTCATTGCATCCAACGACGTTGGCTAGGGTCCCGCTAACGCTAGCCTATCTCTAGAAGATACCAACTTTGGCTAAGGTCCTGCTAATGCTAGCCTAGAGGGGGAAGCGGGCTATTGCTAGAGGGTACGAAGCATGTGGACACAGCGGTCCACAACCTTGAATTTGATCCTGAGGAGTGGGCATGGTCCTCGGGCAATAACAGATTCTACAAGATCCCGATTCACATAACACAATACACTCTTTCTGTAACCCATTTTTACCGTGTATTATGTTATGTGAATGGGGGTCTTGTATAATCTGTTATTGCCTGAGGACGATACCAACTCCTCAGGGTCAAATTCTAGGTCGGGGACCGTTGTGTCCAGTGGGCATGCTTCGTACCCTCTAGCAATAGCCCGCTGCCCCCTCTAGGCTAGCATTAGCAGGACCTTAGCCAGAGATAGCGTGCTGCTGACCTTACCCAGAGTTGTTGGGTGCAATGAAACAATGACCTGGGCTGGACATTACGCTCCACCCTAATGTGGTTTGGGTAGGGGGAGAAGGGAAGCCACCGACTGGCAGGTCGGCCACACTGCTCGGCACAGTAGCATTGCTCGTGTCCCCCCGCCACCGGCCTTGCCTAATATGGTTGGGCACTTATTCTGCCAGCATCTCACATTCACAAGTATTCTGGGGGAGAATGAAAGTTTAACATGCAACTCCTTTGCACATGGTTCTGTAGTTGGTTCCTTCTATTCCCTCTATGTTACCCTCCCCTCTTGTCACCCCCCTTCTTGTCACCACCCCTGCTTGTTGCCACCCCTCTTTGTCACACCACCCCTCCTAGTCAACCTGCTTTGCCTAACCCCTCAGTTTTTGTAACCGCCAGTGCTCTATTTGCGCAGATTTTCCCAACCTCGTCCTTTTCGCATCCGTTTCGTTAAAATGGACGTTTTATATTTTTTTGAACAAAATTAAAGCCTACTTATTTGGCCCTAGAAATGCCACCGTTTGAGGGGTCCGTCTGGACGCCAGGAGAAAATGGAGGTAGTCGCAATATTTGAAAAGATGACAACGCACGTCTAAGAAGTTCCTGCCCAGAAATATTGAGACTACCTCCATCTACTCACTCGTCAAAGAACCAGTTTTTTTTGTTTTGCCGGGTATATGTCGACGGGTAAGTGTAAGTAGATGGAGGTGGTCACACTATTTCTGGGCAGGTACTTTGTGTTCAATTCTTTAAGCTTCGGATATAGGAGAAAGCCCACCTGCACCTGTGCTGGCTAAATATGGCCTGCAAGGACTACAGTGTGAGTGGGGGTGATGCACTGGAAGCACCAAGGGGGAAGAGAAGAAGAAGACTGTAGATACGGAGGAGGAAGAGGTGTGTGGGCTATGGAGATCAGTAAAAGGTGACTTGAGCTCAAGTGAGCCACTTTTTCTGAACAGATTTTTACCCTGCGGATTCATTGCCGTGGTCCGCTGGTGCACGATTTTCAAATGTTTTGGCAACAATAATGATTAGTGTTGGAGAATCTGCTTGAATGAGGTTGCAGGGAGTGGCAAGAAGAGGGGTTGAGGCTTTTAGTCTACATCTCTTCACAAACTTCTAACAATTTTTCTTCTAATCTGCGTCTCTTCACAAAATTCTAACAATTTCTTCTTCTTCTTCTTCTTCTTCTTCTTCTTCTTCTTCGTCTTCTTCTTCTTCTTCTGACTTTCTGTTGGAATGAGTTTGTGCTAAACTCTGTGGTGCTTGTGATTCAGGTGCAGACACGAGTGTCGAAGTCTGTGGCTATCAATTTAAGGTTTACTCTCTCTCTCTCTCTCTCTCTCTCTCTCCCCCCCCCCCCCTCTCTCTCTCTCTCTCTTTCTCTCTCTCGCGCGTGCGCACACATTCTTATACACATTTCTGGCCACCTTTTCTTGATCTGCAGTGTGAGTGACTTTCTTACTAACAGTATTCCAAACAAGTTGATTTCCTTTAATTCATCGGGTTTCCAACAATTGTTCTCACTCTCTGTGCGTGCGTGCGTGCGTGTGTGTGTGTGTGTGTGTGTGTGTGTGTGTGTGTGTGTGTGTGTGTGTGTTGTTGTTTATTTCATTGCAGCGAGTACCCGTGACCTTCACAACAGGAGCGACAGGGGTCGGCCGTGCTTTGGATCCAAGCTGTGATGACAATGATGTATGCTCCTCTCTATCCGTTTCACATTACTTTGAGCATGAGGCTGTGTGAATACATTCCATTGTGATATGATACTTGGCAATTGTTCTAGTCGACTTTCCTGGTTTGGTACACATGCACAATACTAAAGAAAACCGCAGTCCGAATGTGACACGGCGCACTGGGTCCTGGGGCAAATTTATGGCCTCGCGCACATCCTGGGGGTAATTTATGGCCTCACTATGAGTCACTAAAGAAAATTGCACGATAGTTGACATTTGCCTTTTTGCCCTCCTTTTACAATAAGAGGCACGTTTCTGTCCCTAGCGTCTTGGATGATAATAGGAGATCGGACGATTGTGCTAGTCAACTAAGTGCCTTTGTATAATCCATAGAAAGAGCTTCAACTAGCTGCATTTGGCCCAACGTTTAGTCCAGATGCAGCGATAATGACCGGGCATTCTATTCGGGTGAAGACGGTAGGCATATTTTGGCAATGGTGTCCAGGTTAAGAGAAACGTGCAAAAGAGGGGTATCCCTGGGAAGGTGCTGTCAGGTTTTTGCGGAGGTTTTTACCCCCAGAAATCGTCTGTTCACCTGAAGACCTTCTGTATAAGTGGTGGCATGCTTGCACCTGTGATGAAAACATGTGAATGAATAAAGTACAGGATCCTGCTGAGCCTCTCTGTATATTTTGCAATGTTCCAGCCATAGCCATCCTTTTGTCAGATCTTGGAGGCTTGTAGAAGTTGTTGAATTTTCAGATCATCAGCATAACTGCACCTTTCTTACTTACCACAGTATGGATGCGAGACCTCGTTGCAGCGCTCCCTCTCAAAGCAGATGCATCGTACTGTTTCAGACTGCAAAGCCCTTGTGCCCCTGTCTCTGTACTTGGGAGGTATGGTAGTGGTCATTTGCTGGCGAGAAGTTGTTCCTCAGCTTCTGCTTTCGATATGTCATAATACACTGAGTGAAAGTGGGGACACTGTGTTTAGGGTTTATAGTGGTCGAGGGTTTAGGGTTTGGAGTGGTCGAGGGCTTAGGGTTTAGGGTTTAGGGTTTAGGGTATAGACTGGTACCGGGTTTAGGGTTTAAGTTCTCCACTTACGATGGCTGTGGCTCCTTTCCCATTCCGAGGGGCAGCGATTTGGTTACTTCTCAACCAGCAAGTTACAAGAAAATTACGCCGTAAAACTCGTGCGTCTCCCTGATGGGTTTGGCGGAACCACCATTGCTCCGGTAACTGTCTGTCTTTTCGCTGTTATCTTTTGGTTGCCTATTATTTGCCTAATAATGATCACTAGCCTCTAGTCTATCCGATGGGTCCTGATCTTTAGCCCCAAAGCTGTGATCGTACTCTTTTTTTTTTGCAACTGACCCGGTTTGACTCCAACATTTTCAGCAGAAAACAAGATCAGCAGATCACATCCATTGTTTGAGGGGCAATAAACCATGCTAGAGAAATTGCACATGGCAATAATAACACGAATAATAACGATGTGAAAGAACGATGCCTCGCCAATGTTCAAGCTGGTTGGTCGATCGATGCATCCAGCATTGCATGTGCCTAGCTCTCCCTCGCAACAATTACCGATGAAGTCTGTGGAGTCCATATCTCAGTGACGAAGTCTTGCCCTCTCCAAGGACCACTCTTCATGATAGCCAACAAGCATTTCTGAGTTGGTAGGTTCTCGACAACCCCCCAATATTCAAATTAGTATTCCGCTGTGCTAACCTACTAGACTATTTCCTGGTGGGGTTTGTTTCATAGCTACGATCCGGAGCCCCGGAAAGGGATCCGGACTCTCCGGGGTCCGGCATCCGGTACCGGTTTCCGGTAACCGGTCTGGATGGCGGGGCCCCAGGCCAACGGCCTAATTTTTTTTGGGCGGCCCAGGGCGTTTTTTTCACGCCCTGGGCCGCCCCAAAAATATTGGCCCATATTTTTTGCGGCCTTTGGCCACCGTCAAGAAGGGGCGGAAAATGAAATGTGTTCAGCGACTTCTGGCCCCACCGTCAGGAAGGGGCTGTTTTGTTTTGTGCTTGGGGAAGGAATATTCTGCGGCGGCGCTTTGTTCATAGCAGACCTTTTCAGCGTGTTCGAGGCCGCTGCGCTCATGTTCGAATACAAGTTCATAGCTGCGCGTTTTAGCATGTTTGGATTCAATGCACAAAAGACCAAAAAGATATGGAGACACTCCTGTTCTCTCTCTCTCTCTCTCTCTCTCTCTCTCTCTGACACACAAAAAAAAAAAAGTAAAAAAAAGGTGGCCATGTATATTTCCATGTTCTAGCGGAAGATTCATTCCGATTTTGCTCATCCTATCGATGGAAGTATCCTCTCTCTATCTCTCTGCGCACATGGCTGGACAGCAGTGTATATTTCCGTATTCTAGTGGAAGATTCATTCCGATTTCGCTCATCCTATCGATGGAAGTAGCCTCTCTCTATCTCTCTGTGTGAATGGCTGGAAAACTCTCTCTTTCTCTCTCTCTCTCTCTCTCTCTCTCTCTCTCACACACACACACACACACACACACACACACACACACACACACACACACACACACACGCGCGCACGCGCGCGCACACACACACACACACACACACACGTACGGCACCCTGACATGTCCTGTCCAGTTTGTAGACAGGGAATCGAATGGCAATGCCTCTACAATTGCGGTCGGCGCGCCTCTGTGTTCCTAGCATGTTGGAGCCACGTGGCCCGTGACATCTGCCGACGCCGAGCCATTCGCTGCAGCAACTCCGACTGCGAGACTTGGATGCGATGCTTCCACAGTCCACACCCGAACTGCTGCTGTCCGCTCTGTAGGGGTGGCCCCTTACATAGCCCACGGGTACTCCCTAACACAAAATCTCCAACAGGCTGAAAACTGACTGACCTCTCATGTCATTCTGAGATTGGTCTGCTCCGGTGCTCTCTCTCTCTCTCTCTCTCTCTCTCTCTCTCTCTCTCTCTCTCTCTCTCTCTCTCTCT